TCAAGTAAGAACTTCAAGAATTGATCGAGCTCTGCTGCTTCAAATGTACGCGTACCACTACAAAATGGCATAACCTTGACATTCTTCAAATTTTGTAAGGAAACTTTGAATATGTTTTCTTCAAATGAGAGGAGGTCATATAATTCCAACGTCTCAGTGTATTCTTCGTCCTGAAGAAATGAGTGGTTCTGAAATTGAATTACACACTCTTTAAGTAACATTGTAATCAACATTTGACACGTAAATGAAAATACAAATTGGCAGAAAATAATGAGATGAATAACATACCTCAATATCAGGAAATATCATCAAATTTTCCAAATTAGGAGTCGACCTTAAGAGTTTGTCTAGCATGGGGAAAGAAACTTTTGAAATATAAGAACTTATTGTCAACCATCTGCATTCTAGCAACGGTAAGGAGAGGTTTAATTGCTGGTCCATCATTCAAACGAAAAACACCTAAACAGAAGAATGAAACAAAATAGAAGGTACGTAAGTACATTGAACTGTTAATATTGCTCTGTTTCTTTTATCTTTGACAAGCCTTCATAAGTTGTATAGAAAACAAACATACTTCGTGAAGTAGATACAAAATAATTTTAGATTCTCCATAACTTTAGTAAAATTACTACTGTTACCGGTTAGTAGGGATGGCAATGGGGCGGTGCGGGGCAGGTTGGCTTAACCCACAAAATATTTAATCCGCCCCGCCCGCCCCACATAATAATATTTTTCATTTTCAACCGGCTCCACCCCGCCCAACATAGACCCATCCTCATGAACCCGCCCCACATAATTTTTGAATATTTTCTTTTTTCTAGCTAAGTTGAATACTAAAAATAAAATTCATAAAAGTAAATTCAATGTTTCATTAAGTTGTATTAATTTAATAGGATAGTGACTTAAAAAATTATTTCTTATAGGTCAATTGGAAATATGTAAGATATTGTATTGTTTTTATTGAAACATTTTCATTTACTATTTTGAATATTTTAGTAGCTTTAAAGAAATTATCTTAATAATAATGCTCTATCACTTTTATAATATGTAAAAAGTTAAAATTAAGTTTGAACTCACATAAAATCACATATACCCGCAACCCGCCCCGCCCAACATTATTTTAAAAAACCCACTTTAACCCGCCCCGCATCCCACACCCGTCCCGTACAACCTTAAACCCGCTCTGCTCCGCTCCACATAGCCTTAAGCCCACCCCGCCTTATTGCGTCCCAATTGGTTAGTGCTAATTAAAAGAATTAGCAATGTGTGCACCTTTTTTTTGATTTCTTATTTGTCTCTTTTACGTATACTCTAACTCTGTTGATACTTAGAAGCTATTGGAAAATATCAATTCTAGTATGCTTAGTTTTAGTTTATTACTGTTTGGATATATATATATATATATAGAAAGAGAGAGAGAGAGAGAGAGAGAGCGCTTAGCATATTATAAGATAACATGAGTCTTTATAGATAAAATAAAAGGTTCTTTTTCTCTCTCCACTCCACCAACTCCATGACAAGATATCTCGATTTCTCTTCTAAATCTGAAGAGTAACATGATATCTGAGCCGGTGATTGTGTAGCTCTTCACCTCAGTTTCCGAGTGATGCTACCCTTGCTATGATTTTTTTTCTTCAAACTTTTTGGAGTCTTCCCGACTCACAGATGAGAAGTTAGGGTTTCAGACTACTATTATTTTTAGCTGACGATGAAGGTGTTCTGATATGGTGTAGAATCTCATCTTCAGCCGCTGAAGTGTTTTGATGTTGTGTTATTCTTCATTGTTTGTTTTTCCTTTTTACCCTAGTTTTGTCTATTGTACTTGTTTTCGTTCCTTGCTAGAGATATGCCGAATTCTTCGTCTATGCCTGATAGTGCGTCGACAAGAAGCTTTATGCCTTTCATGGTTGAGTCTTCGCATCATTATTTTTTGCATCCTTCTCATAACCCAGGCACAGTCTTAGTCATTACTAAGTTCAATGGCACTGGGTATGGGAGTTGAAGGAGGAGTATGTTGATATGACTCTATTGTACGAATAAATTAGGACTTATCAATGAAACCTTACGTAGACCAGCTCCTAATACTACTTGAAACCTTACGTAGACCAGCTTCTAATACTACTCTTTTCGAGCATGAACAAGGGAAAATGATATGGTCTTTCTTGGTTGTTGAATCTTCTTGAACTTGAGATCAAGGAGAGTGTCAAGTACACTGATTTTGTAGATAAGTTGCGGTTAGATATTGAGAGAAGACATAGGCAGGCAAATGGAACTAAAGTCCATCAAATTAGGAAAGAGATTGGTTCCATTACCCAAGAGTCTTCAAACACTGCATCCTATTTTTTCAAAATCACTTGCATATTCACTTACCTAACATGATTGCACATGTGGTTGCAAAGAAGCTTTTCAAAATATGGAAGAGGAATAAATATTTTATCAGTTGTTGATGTGTTTAAATGAGATTTACTAAAGTCAAGATAAACATTTTGATGCTTAAAGCACTTCCTGATATGGATACTGCATATTCTATAGTGATTGTAATAATGAGAGTCAACTTGAAGCGCATACTGTGACTGTCTCCTTAACACAAATACTACTTTTTTTTGCTGGTACACGTGCCTGTTTATCCTCCTAGGTCTCAATATCCACAGAAGGTGATTTTTTACAACAAAATAAATATAATTTGTTTTGTCGCTATTGCAAGAATCCTGCTCATGTTATTGGAAATTGTAGGAAGCTTCAATATTAGAATGGTTCTCAACCTAATCAACATAGGTCTTACAACAACACTCCTGCAACTTCCACTTCATATAGGAGGTCTGTTGCTTATGTTCAGGGTGTTGATTCACACTATGATGTGAAGTCTGAAGTTTCAGGAAATCTAATCAGGCTGATGCTTCTAATGTGCCTCCACTTTCATCAAATCAGTTGACTCACATGATGAATATGTACAGTAGATAACAAATACGTACCTTGACCAGAATGGAATTGGCTCTGCCATCTATACAGGTTTAGTAAGCCCTTCTCATTTATGAATTTACTTGTCACATGTCTACGATAGTTGATAATCCTTGGATCATAGACTCTGGTGCTAGTAATCACATGACCCCAATTAATTAATCTTTCCTAACTAACATCACTCATCATTCTATTCCTTATCTCATTACTTTGCCTAATAGTTATATTGTAAAAGTTACTTGTACTGGAACACGTACTCTGTCACCTGAGTTAGTGTTAACAAAAGTTCTTTATGTGTCTTCTTTTCAATATAACTTGATTTCTGTACACAAGTTAGTAGTCCAATTCAACTGTGGAACTTAGTTCACTACCTCTACTTTTGTGTTCTACAGGGCCCTTCTATGAAGAGGCCACTGGAGCTTGGTAAAATGTATCAACGGCTTTACATTCTTCATACGTAGTCTCTTTTGACTTTCCATTATATAAATTCCATTGTGGCTACTACTTGTGTTGATAATAAAGTTGTTGTTACTTTTACTACTTCTATTGACAATAACACAATTGTTTCTTACAACAAACTTATTGTTTCTAATTCTGTTCCAGTATCCACATGTATGCCTTCTCTTGTTTGTTTCAGAATGATCTTGCTTTACTTTGACATTTGAGATTAGGACACATGCTTTATTATAAGATGAAATCCATTGTTAATAAAAATGCTCAATTATCTAAGAAACAAGACTTCATCTGTAAAGGAAAGTGTATCCTCTGGCTAGACAACAGAGACTAGCATTTCCGTTCCATCAAAACCTCATGCCCTTTTCAACTCATTCATATTGATCTTTGGGGACCCTACCACACCCAAACTTACAATGGCAATAAACATTATCTAACCAGTTGGATGATTTTTTCAAAGCCACTTGGACACACTTACTGTCTACAAAGTCTAATGCTTTTTCCCTTATTAAATCATTTATCTTCAGGATTTACACTCAATTTCATACCATATTCATACTCTAAGATCTGATAATACTTTTGAGTTGGGTTCTAGCACTAAAGCATCTTCTTTCTTTTCTTCTCTTGACATTGTATATCAAACATCTACTCTTCATACCCCACAACATAATGATGTTATGGAAAGGAAACAGAAGCACTTATTGGAGACTCCTTGACCTATACTATTTTAATCCAAACTTTCGGTCAAATATTGGGGTGAGTGAGTCCTTACTACTAATTATCTTATTAACAAACTTCCTTCACTTTTGTTACAAAATCACACCCCTTATGGTCTCTTATATAAAACTGCTCCATCCTACTCACACCTCAAACCTTTTGGTTTCCTTAGTTTTGCTGCAATACTTAAGCCTTGTAGGGATAGGTTCAAATCCAGATCAATCACTTTGTGCTTTCTATGGTTATAACATGACCAAAAAAGGACACATAAGCTTGTTGATTTGGACAAGCAGGCAGGTTTTTTATCAAGAGATGTCATGTTTCATGAGACAGTTTTTCCTTACTCTTCTCTTTCTTTTCCTTCTATGTTTCCTCCTCCGCCACCAACTTATTCTAATTATTTTGTTTTATAGATGAAATAAAAGGTTCTTTTTCTCTCTCCACTCTACCAACTCCATGGCAGGATATCTCAATTTCTCTTTCGAATCTGAAGTGTAATAAACTCAGTGTAAACTTTGGAGATCTATTGATTTTATTCTTGTAAGAACTTGTAGCTGCCATATTAAACCAATAGAAGGAACCAATATTTAACCTCACGTACTAGATCAAAACTATATGAGTTAATTAAAAGGAAGTAAATCAGGAGATAATTAATCAGGTTCACGACCTTTAATTGACATAATCATTACCCCAATGCTACAACCAAGTCGAAAAATAGAGGATTCAATAGATTATCAGTATCAATATAAGAGATAGAAATAAGGAGCTCTATTCACAATTAACATAAAAATCAAAGACAAGAGACATTTGAAACTAATAACTGACCTTGATAAACTAGGATGAAAGTATTAGCTCGTTAGCACAACGAACGCTTACCAAAAGATCTTCAGTTTGTCCTCATCCATCGAATCAAATTCATCACTACAGAGATCAAGTTTGGCATGGTCCAAAGATGACAAGTCCTTAAGCTCAATTTCCGTATAATCAAAATCCCCAAAAATCGTTAAATATTCAACATATGGAGCAACAACTTCAAAGCAACAATCACCTTCGAATGAATACCAATCTCCGATAGGATGATAGTGATCAATCAATTTCAATCTCTTACATTTTGGAGAAGTCATGTGCAAATGATTAAAACCACAAAATCCATATAGATTGAATGATTCCAATTGAGGACAATTTGACATTATTTGTTTAATGTGTTCATCCCGGATTAACAAACTCCCCAGCGTTAAACTCTTCAGAGATGTCCAATTTAGTACACAATCGTCTAATATTCTGCAATTCTGGCATTTGAGTTTTAGAATCGACGAGCTACTACAAAAAACTTCTGGCAGACTATAGGGTTGGTCATGCTCAATCACATCAATATCATAACTTATATTCAGGCATAGACCCTCCACTTTCTTGTTCACAGCAAATTCAAGCCACTTGTCAATTACGGGAAAATAAGACATATCATCCTCATGTTTGAACACAAAGTTTAGACTACACTTTTTAATGCTAGAGTTGCTAAGGAGAGGTAGTACATTATCCGTTAAGGAAATGAATTTGTGTACCATCGAGCTATCTGAACGACTAAACTCCTCATTGTCATAAACAAAATTGTCGATAGAAGTCCAGAAGTATTGGCAATGTTTACAGAGAATAGCTGTTTTGAAGGCATCTGTTATGGACAATCGAGAAAGAATTTGAACAATAAGACCGTCAGGTAGTTGACTAATTCTATCAATGAGGCCAGTTTCATCACATTCTGTCTCAATCTTCGCTTTTATCTGAGGTGAGTTTTCAATAAGCCAACTTTCAGAGTTTCCATCATCACCACGACTGCTAGGGAATTGGTCTTTCTAACTCATGGTTGCCATGCTACTTTTGTTTTGTTGAGAAACAACAAAGGGCTAATACTGAAAAGGGGGAAATTATAAGATATTAATACTAAGAATTATTATTGCTTAAATTCATATCTTATAATTTCCCCCTTTTCAGTATTAGCCCTTTGTTGTTTCTCAACAAAACAAAAGTAGCATGAATTTTGTTCAGTAGAATTCCAGAAGTATTGCCAACGTTTAGAGAGAATAGTTGTTCTGAAGGCATCTTTTATGGACAATCGAGAAAGAATTTGAACAATAAGAGCGTCAGGTAGTTGTCTGATTCTATCAATGAGGCCAGTTTCTTCACATTCTATCTCGATCTTCGCTTTTTTCTCAGATGAATTTTCAATAAGAAAACTTTTAGAGTTTCCATCAGCACTACAACTGCTAGGGAATTGGGCTTTCTCACTCATGGTTGGCATGCTACTTTTTCTTTTGTCGAGAAACAACAAAGTGCTAATAAATTAAAAGGGGGAAAATTATCATAAATTAATACTGAGAATAATTATTGCTAAAGATGAATTTTTCATACTTTTAGTCCATCTATAGAAAGAATAATGTTGATCACATTAGCAAAGTAACATTCTGGACCTTTTGGCAAAAAAAGCATCTTCATGATAAGTTTACTTGTAATTAACTATAGACAACTAATCATGTTTCTTTTTTTTTTTGTTTATTATTTCTTTAATTTCCAACTAACATACTTATATCTGATGATACTGTTTTTTAATATAATGGTATATGATATATATATATATATACTTTAAATAAAATTTCTTTAAAATATAGGGTTTGGAGAGGAAAAATGAAACAGTGTTGGGTTTTAAAGGCGTGAACAGGAAATGAAGGGTTGTGGACTCTCCTGAAGGGTTGTAACTTTGCCAAAGGGTTGTGACCTTTATGAAAGGTTGTGTCTTTCCTAAAGGGTTGTGACCGTTTAAAAGGTTGTGCCTTTTCCAAAGCGTTGTGACCTTTCTGAAAGTTTGTCTTTTTTCTGAAAAATTGTGACATTTACCCTTTGTTGGCTATAAATAGAGAAACTCTCTCATTATTCTGAATCGAATTCTTCCCTTCTTTTGCATATATTTCTTACAAAACAAAATCGATCGATCGTGTTTGTGTGTGTGATTCATTGCTGTCTTTTTGAGTTCGTTGATGAAATTATCGAAGTTTGAGATACCATTACTTCTTTAATGGTTAATCCATTTTAGCTTGGGAAGAATCAATTTGCAACCTCGGGTACTTGAGGGGATTAAATTTCTTAAGGACACACAGTGGGTTATGTGGACTCGGATAGTTCTTTGTTTTTTCTTTTCATCTTTTATCATTTCTGGTTTGCTAATTTGAATACAGGAGATAACAAGCTTAAGAAATTTATTGTTGGTATTTTCTGGTAAGGAAATTACTTATGTGTTCTTTTTATTGGGGAAAAAAAAGAGAATTATTTTATCATATGATAAAAGATATTTGCGGTGAATTAGTACTACTTTAATATATTCAAGTACATTTTATAGTAGTAAGTTTTCCTTGGATGGGTAAGATTAATTTTATTTTCTTCCCAAGTGCATTCAAGCATTGCACCCTTTTGGTTTACTTTTCAATTAGAAAACTTATGTTGTTCACAAAGTCTAAGATGTCTACTTTAATTATTTTTCCTATATTCTTAGTTTTATATAACTATGAGAAGAAGTAAATGAACAAATGTTGTCTCCTAACAATATTTGAACATGAGTTTATTTTCTCGTTGAAATTCAATGTCTTCTAAGGAAAATTAGAATATGATGGAAATTGGGAAAGAAAGAAAAAATTAGCAAGAAAAGTGACTTGCATGGAATCATTGCTAACAGATAGAATATGATTCAATGGGAGTAAAATCAGGTTCTATCTTTATTTCCCTTGATTTTTTTTTTCTATCCTTTATAAGGTATGAGATTTATTTCATAAATGTTAGGATAGATGATCATTATGTGATGATCTCAGAATATATCTTTATTAATATTAATATGTAGTTTGTTTAGAGGAGAAAAAAAAAGAAAAACTTTTGTAGTTTTCTACTCCATGTGAAATTTGATTGTGTGTAAATGAACAAATATTTTCTCCCAACAATATTTGAACATGAGTTTAGTTTCTCGTTGAAATTCAATATCGTCGAAGGAAAATTGGAATATGATGGAAACTGGAAAGAAGGGAAAAATTAGCAAGAAAAGTGACTTGCATGGAATTATTGCTGACAGATAGAATATGATTCAATGAGAGTAAAAATCAGGTTCTATCTTTATTTCCCTTGATTATTATTTTTTTCTATCCTATATTTATGAGATTTATTTCATAATAAATGTTAGGATAGATGGTCATTATGTGATGATCTCAGAATATATCTTTATTATTATTAATGTGTATTCTGTTTAGTGGAGACAAAAAAACTTTTGTAGTTTTCTACTCCATGTGAAATTTGATTGTGTATGACTTTTGGTAACTAAAATCTTATGATTTTTTACTCCTTTGGTTTGAATGATATAAGAACTTCACAAACAAATCAGATTGTGCATTGGTTTGAAGAATATAGAAACTTCACCAATTTGTTAAATATTCTGTTTGAATGAATATTTGTCTTGAAGAGTACAAAATCTCCGTCAGGAATATTAAGGCTAAATAATTTGGAAAAGATAAAATCTTCATCATTAGCTAGAAATAATGTTGTATTTGAGGTTTCTGGAGATTAAAACATTTTTGGTTTACTACTCTGTCTAAATATGAAACTGATTCGAAGAATATAAAAACTTCATCAGAATTCAAGGTTCAATTGGTTAACGATTAGAAGAATATAAAAACTTCATCGTTAAACTAGAAACAAGTTGTATAAAAATTGAGTCCTTATTGTTAGTATTCTAAATATCAAGTGGACTGTCTAATTGTGACAGAAAGGAAAAAAAAAACACTAGTGTCATATAGTTAGTGATTTTTGTGCCTGCAATGGGCGTTTCTATGGATTGAATCTCCAAAAGAAGGCTCGTATTGCCAATTTGTATTTTGATGGTATACAATTTGAAAGCATGGGAAAAAAATATGTGGAAAATAATTTCAAATACTTGAAAAATATTTTTGAGAACATATTTAAAATGTGGGGGGTTCTTTACTTGTGATAAAGACAAAATTAGACTTACTATCTAATTTAAATTTGAAACTACAAGATATGAAATTTAATGACATTCTTGTATAATGTTAGACCCACAAAATTCTTGGAGTATATTTGATATTGTGGTCGTTGAGTATCTCTTTACTAGTATATGATATGACTAGTATAAAACCACAAAATTATATTACTCGCTCAAAAGAATTGTATTCTTTGATGAAAAAGTGTCACTTAAAAGTGATTTTTCATTAAAAGATATGTCTATTAAAATAAATTTATTTGTATAGACATGAACATTGGTGAAAAATGATTTGTTATGTTAATGTTGTAAAACAAACATTTGGGTCATATTGCGCTTATTGGACCGAAGAGACTATGGTCATGGGTAATTCTATAACAAATTGAATGTTATGGAAATGTCCTTCTGCAAAGGAAATTTGGCAAGGTGCTGACTCGAAAACAATGCCTGTATTTGAAAAATTTATAAAAAGTAAAGAACAAAATATTTGTAAGAAAAAGTTACCTCATGGAAGGTCTTTTCAAACTCATTATTTCTGTTTGTTCTTACTTAGTTGAATCAAATTGTTTGTGACATGAATCTTAGGACATGTCAATTACAAAATCTTGCAAAAACTGATCAATGCTTATAAATTTTGAAAGGAATTTTAATCCTTTAGAATTGATTTACACTGATATTTGTGATATGAAGTCAACACCATCTCTTGATGGGAAAAAGTGTTTCATAAATTTTATTTATGTCTATTTTTTGGATGGTAAGGATGAAGCAATAGAAACATCTATGCAATATAAAATTGAAGTTGAAAATCAGTTGGATAAAAAGATTGTCATGATTAGAATTGGTAGATGTGGAGAATATGAATCTTCTTTTGCAGAAATATATTTGGAAAATGGAATCATCCAACAAATTACTGCACATACTCACCTCAATCTAATGAAACTGTTGACATGAAAAAACCAAACTTTAAAGGAAATATTGAATGTCATACTTATAAGTTCAGGTTTACCACAAAATTTGTGGGGGTGCTATAATTATAGCAAAAGAGAACAACAAATTTTTTGTATGTTCAGAAAGAGAGAAACAAAAGTTTTGTTTGTTAGTAAACGGAGCAATAAAAAAAATAATTTTTTTTGTTTGTTTAGAAAGGGAGCAACAAAAAGTTTTGTTTGTTCAGGCTTTGTTGTATCTTGATAGAGAATTGCTTGTCGTCCCTTAAAGTATATACAAGCAATAACTCTTGAAAGATAATGATCTAACAATTTCCAATTTAGTCTATTCCATATGAGAAATGGAAATGAGGGAACTATTCCCAAAAGGATCAAAATAGGACCTAAGACTGTGGATTGTATGTTCATTGGATATGCTCCAAATGGTAAAGCATGTTGATTTATGGTTCATAAATCCGAACCGTCGGATAGTCAAGTAAAGGGTCTAAATGACCTTGGAATGAACCAAAGGAAAATGTACATAATAAAGAGATTCAGAGGTGTAGTAAATGTCAAAAGACATTTACTTCCTTTAGGTTTGATTTTGTAAGATTTCTTCTTGAAAAATGAGTCTCATATATTCGAAGAATCTATGTCTTCTACGGACTCATCCCTTTTTGGAAAGAGGCTGTCAATAGTAAGATAGATTCAATCTTGCGCAACCATACTTGAGAGTTGGTTGATCTTCTTCCAGGAAATTAACCTTTGGGTTCAAAGTGGATCTACAAAAGGAAAATAAAGTTTACGGAACTATTTACAAATACAAAGCAAGACTTGTTGTCATAGACTTTAGACAATAAAAAGTCATTGATTATTTTGACACAGAATAACCATTAACTAGGATTACATTAATTTAGATGTTAATTACGCTAGTTGTGGTGTATGGCCTTCAAATTCGTCAAATGGATGTGAAAATAACTTTCTTAAATGGAGAATTGGAGGAAGAAATTTACATGGTACAACCCGAGGGCGTTGTGGTTCCTAGTAAAGAAAAGAAAGTGTGTAAACTTGTTAAGTCACTTTATGGACTAAAAACAAACACCCAAATAATGACATGCGAAGTTTGACCAAATTATGTTGGCAAATGAATTCAAGATTAATGAATGTGATAAATGTTTTTATATTAGACACTACAAATCACAAGTTCATTGTTTGTTTTTATGTTGATGACATGTTGATCATCAAAAGAGACACTTCTGACATAATTTCTACTAAGCATATGCTAGAAAGTAACTTCGATATGAAAGACATTGAAGTTACTGATGTGATCGAAAA